AGGACGCCCCCGTCCCTCAGCCCCATCTGGGCCCAGAGGCCAACAGTCCAGGTGAGGCGCTGTGGGGGTTCCGCCGGAGGAGAGAGGGCTGGGACTCTGGAAGGACTCGAAGCTCCCCCCACCGAGACAGCGCGCACTTGGCGCGCGGGGTGGGGGCGGGGCGGCTGTGGGCCCCTCACCTGCTCCCGGGACGGGTAGTACCAGGCACATATGACCCGCCGCAGCCTGCTGACGTAGTTGCCACACAGCGTGACGAAGAAGCACAGGCCGTACATGATGCCTGGGGGCACGCAGTCCCGCTGAGCTGCTGTCCCTGGGCACAGGGTGCCCCTCGTGCCCTGAATGCTGTCAGCTCCCCCTCCCCGCCCGAGGGCACCCCATCCCCCCCCCCCCCCCGGGGGGGGCCGACCCCGGACGACGTAACCCGTGGCGTCAGGCTCCGAGGGGCGCAGGACGCAGCGCGGGGACAAGACGCTGATGTTGCTCTGCTGCAGGACGTCAAACGCTGACACCAGGTCACGATAGATCTTCCCGGCGTAGCCGGGACCCTCCACGGTTATGGACACTGCCACGGGGCCTGGCACAGAGGTGCCCTGTGAGGGCCCACAGGCCCGTGTCCCTGCCCCCTCTCTCCCGTGCGGGAAAGGCCACGTGCGCGGGGGGGGGGGGGGGGGGGACAGCAGACAGGCCTCCTGCCCCCAGCCAGGGGCCTCTGACAATGCTGGGCCTAACCTCAGCCCCGAGCACCGAGCACCGAGGAGGACTGGCTCCAGGGCCCCGAACTGCCCCGCTCCCCCACGTGAGACGGCCTGGATGGTCACCGAGTCCCTCCCCGGCCCCCACGACTCTCCACTCTCCAGAAGCGTTCGTTGCAAAGCGTTTGCTAAGTGCTGACTGTTGCAGCCACGGGGCTGCGTGCTCTATTGATCGTTTGGGGCTTTTTTGTTGTTTTTATTTTCTCCGTTGGACCTTCGGCAGATGCAGGATCAGATTAATTATATTCTGTGGTTTACAGCGTGCTCTCAGTCAGCGGCCCACCCGACCCCGACACGCGTGGGTCACGTACCCCCGAGGGGCTGCCATGCCCCGGCTCTGCGAGGCCGAGCCACTGGCCTGAGGTCAGCACCTCGCGGAGGGCAGAGCTGGGACCGCGGAGCCCAGGCCAGTGTGAGTCCAGACCCGATGTTGCTAACTACTCTGTTATGGTATAACCACGAACGGGACACAGGGCTCACCGGGCAGAGGACAGAGTTGGAAGAGGGGCGAAGCCAGGGGCTGATGAGTCACAGTGACTTGGGGACTTCGGGGCATCGTCCCCTGGGGCCGGGGGGGACGGGAGGATGCCGGCCAGGGGGGCAGGGGGAGGCTCAGGCGCTCACTGCGGGCCACGATCTCCCCCTGCAGCTGGTGCCGAGCCAGGTCCAGCACCCAGAAGACGGCGTAGTCCAGGAACACCAGGAGGAGCACGAGGAGGAGGTACCGGACCAGGTCGAAGACTGCCAGGATATAGAACACCCGCTCCCACCGGGACAGGAAGATGGAACCTGGGTGGGAGGGCGGGCAGGAGGGTGCCACCGCGTCCCCTCACCACGGGACTCCAGCCGCCCGTCCCCTCACCCCCAGACTCCAGCCCCCTGTCCCGTCCCCTCACCCCTGAACTCCCAGCCCCCCGTCCCCTCAGCCCCGGACTCCCAGACCCCCGTCCCCTCACCCCCTGACTCCCAGACCCCCGTCCCCTCACCCCCAGACTCCAGCCCTGGGGGGAGAGAGCTCCCTCCTGGGGAGGGCTCCTGCCCCCACCGAGTGGGCCCGTTGGTTGATCTGGAAGGTGTAGAAGCTGTGGGGACCCCTGGGCCAGGGCTGGAAGTGGCGGTGGGGGGTCGTGGTGGGGGGCTGTGACATAGCAGCTTAGCTTCCGGGCCTGGGCCCTTCCAAGTCTTCAGGAACCCGCCCTCCTGGGGGTCCCTGGCCCTTTCCTCCCAGGCGGCATCTCCATATTAGCACATTTGCACTTCCGGCCTCACCCCCAAAGCCTCCCTTCCCTCGGCTGGTGTCCACTCCCCACCCCTGCCCTCTGTCCGGACGTCAGGTGCTCCCAGAGGCACCGGCCCCCTCGTCACGCGTCTGCGTGCAGGGACCTTCCCCTTTCGGACGCAGTGCCGTGTGTGGGGCTTAGGGTCGGGCCGGCTCGGTGTCCCCGTCTGCAGATCCCGGGGCCCTCACCGGGCTGGATGTAGTGTCGGGCCTCGTGGGCGCTGAGCGGCAGCACCGTGGGCAGGCCCGCCCTGGAGCGGACGTCTTCCATGAGCAGAAATCGGCTGGTAATGTAGATGTTGTCGAAACCCAGCCAGTTCAGGTAACGGTACCGGTAACACAGGGCTCTGGGGGAGTGTCCGCGAGGCCCCTCAGCACCCCAGCCCAGACTCCGCTGGGCGCCGCCCTCCCGCCCCGCACCTCCCGGGCGGCCCCCCGACGGAGGCCCCCCGACCCCGGCCCCCCTGAAGGCCGCGGGACGAGCCGAGCCCCGGCCGCCGGAGCCCCCCAGCCCCTCACTGGAGGTAGAGCAGCGGGAGCAGCAGGGGCGCGGTGTAGCCCATCAGGGCCAGGGCCTCTCGGACGCGGTGCAGCTTCACGCTGACGGCTTCCTGCAGGTCCAGGGCCACCTGGGACAGGCTCCGGGAGGCGTTGAGATCCACAGAGAAGTGGTGGGTGGCCGTGACGTTGAACTCAAACTCCTGACGCACCCGGTTGATCAAGTGCCTCACAGCTGGGGCCGGCAGGTGCCGCAGGGCCGTGAGCCAGGAGTCAGGAGACCAGCGCCTGGCATGGCTCGCGGGCCAGCCGGGCCCCCGCGCTGGGACCCAGTGTGGACTGGGGAGGGGCCTCCGCAGTCCGTGCTGTCCCCTATCCCCATGGCAGCCTGACTCCAGTGCCACCCGATGCCCTGGGGTGGGCGGGGGGGGGGGGGCCCTGATCCCCTCCCGGGTCCTGCTCTGACGTCCAGCTTGGGGTGGTGCACCTCCCTCTTGCTGGGCTTCCCTTTCCTGGGTAACTTCCTGGGGTCCTTTCCTTCTGGCCCCTGCGTTCTCATTCTGGGCCAGGAGTGGGCCCGAGCAAGGAGGGGACTGCCCCAGGAGCACCCCCTGGGGCGGCCGGGGGCAGGGGGGACACTCACGGGGGCCGATGGTCTTGCGCAAGAAGGGCTGGATGTACTCGGGGATGGTGCAGAACACCTGGACCACTGAGACCCGGAGACTGAGTGGGGGGGGGGGGGG